AAAAAAAAAAAAAAAAAAATTTAAGCCTGTCAAAGTTGTACAAGTGAAAAATTTCAGCTAGCTCCCGAAAATTAAGTATCCTCTAGTCATTTTTATTATTATTATTATTATTATTATTATTTTTTTTTTTTCGTTAAAACACACGTTAAAGGTATCACAGGGTTGTTGTTTGTGGCAGCCGACGAGAATTTCCATAAAATTTACGAAGCGTATGGGAAAAGCATCGACGCGCAAATAACGATCGAAATCCCACTGAAAATTTAACGCCCATGAAAACGCACGCTGCGTGAAATGCAGTTTTGAAAAGAGAAAAAAAAAATATTTCCTCTGGGTGGAGTAACAAAAATCCTCCGATGCACTGCAGCTCCGAGCAAGCTCCCACTAATTTCGTTTTAATGGCTCGTTTCAGGGAGGTTTGGCCCGAGAACGACAGTTTCGGCATGGCCAACATGCTGCCCGAGGAGGAATTTCTCGTCCTGCGGGAGATCTTTTTCGCCGATCTTGGTGGTAAGTACCTTAAACCCTTTTTTTTTCTTTTTTTCTTTCTTTTTTGTATGTCAAATACACGTGTGTACGTAAAAAATTCATCGCATCCAGTATACTCGTATACACATGTGTTACGGTGCAAAGAGCTTCGTATACAGTATTCAGTTGAAAAAAAAAAAAAACATTTTTCCACTAAATGGAGCTGACGAAGTTTTTTCCGCTCAAACGATCTTCCCTTTTTCAAGAAAATATTCATGAAATTCGAAGTATGTCAGTGAAAATATTGGCTTGTACGAAGTACACTTGCAAAGTTATTCGCCCGAATGATAACCGAGCGAGCTGGAGGTAAGGATTTTTCAAAATTCTAAACAGCCGAGAAAAATATTCTTTCAGCTTGGTTATGCGAAGTAAGAGTGCAATTATATCCAAAATCAAAGCCAATAAAAACTTACAGTTTCATCACGTAAACAAGTTTGCCATGCATCATCTATCCGATGAAAAAAAAAAAAAAAGTTGAGTGTCAAAAAGCTCAAAGCCGTTGAAGGGCCTCGTATCTCATAACTGACACATTAAACGCTCGCAAAGTTTCCCTCACGACAAGCGTATCCTCCACAACTCAAAAATATAAATATTCATGCGACCAAGAAACTTCCCCTCCGCGTTACGTGTACACACTACACGCGGGTATCGTCTTTCGCGATCCAGTGGTAATGTTCTGCGGGACCGGAGGCTAAATAAATAATGGAACGTATGGGCGGGTACACGTACACTCACCCGTTTTGCCGGTGGAGCTCTTGTTACCCCCACGGGAGACGTGAATTAAGTTTATTGATGGCTGGCTCGCGAGCACACGAGCTACTGCTGGAAACTTTTAGACATCCCGCTCCCTCAGTCTCTTTCACTCTCCTCTATACTTGCGCTGCTGCGCCTGTTTTTATTTCATCCGTGGTGTCTCACGTAGATCTAACGATGATTGTCGACCAACTTTTTTCTACTATTTGCTTGTCACATTTTGCGGATCAGATCACTATGAGCTTGTTTAGGCGTACAAGTAGAAAAGTCAGCGTACGGTCAGACATTCGCAAAACGCGTTTACACTGATCATTGTAAGCTCACTCGGCTCGTGTCCGGCTGCGTCAAAGAGCACTACTAATCAAATCGAGAAAAGTGCTGGCTTTGCCTCTCCATTTCACTGGTTGCAGGAAAAAAAAAAAAAAAAAAAGAAATTACTGCCTTAATAACTCTAAGGCAGAGCAGAATCCTCGCGAGCTCAGCACAAAATTGCGATTTCGGCGTCGAATTTTTCGAGGAGCTTCCCTCCCCCTGGACTTCCTTTAACAGTTTTTAATTAACGGGAGCTCCTCCCCAACTTCCCCTCCCCAGCTCCCCCCCCCCCGTAATTGCAATCAACGCACCGGACTGTCACGTTGACTTTCTGGCCAGCCAATTAAATTAAATTCGCACAGTCCCGATGTGCCATGGGCTGCCCTTCGCGCAGGACTCGCTGTAGTCTAACGATGATGGGCGGTGGATTTGGAAGGAGGGGAGGCCCCGACTGACCGATGAGAGGTATTTAGCGCTGTGCCGGGGAATTGAGTTTTGTTCGTTGCGGATAGATATTTTTTTCGACACCTTTTTTTTTTCCGCGCCGATGAAATGGCGGAAATTTTTTTGTTACCCATTTGTCGTAAACACCACTGATTTTAAAATAATAATCGGTACATCCTTGTACGGTACTCGGATGGTGTTACAGTTGCGAGCGAGACACAAACTCGAGTTTTTTTTTTTTTAAAGGTCAGCGGAGTTCTTTGAGCGAAAAAAGTCTTGCGCAAGAGCCAGCAGAGCTATGCAGTGTCAGTACGGCTGGCTCTTTTCGTTGAAAAATTTCGTTTTAAAAAGGAAAGCTGACTCCCCTCATTACCGTCAATATTTGAGCAAAAGAGTCGGCGAGCCCGAGCTTTTAATTATGAGATTGATTTTCCGACCAATTCCCTCTTGCGCACATTTTTTCTTACCCCCCGGCCTCTGACATTATACGACGGGACTCCGTCTTAATAAACACGACCAGGAAGAGTCTTTGGGACTTTGCACTTGTTTACTCAAATATTTGATGCAGGAAGAGAAGGAGGAGACATCTAAGGAAGTCTTTCTCGATAATTTTGCCTCTTCGCAAGAAAAAATAAAGAATGAAAAAATGGGGAGAAAAAGTTGGGGGTAGAAGAAAATTAAGCAAATTCCTTGTCAAATTACAATCTCCGCAAGCTCCGTGGCAGCACCGAGCGCGTAATTTCATGAGCGAGAAGTCGCCGAGCGCGCTTAATTTGCCTTAGCTACGTGCGCCTTTTTTTTCCTCTCCCTGTCTTCCTCCTGTAGTGGAACGTGTGTGGAATACACAAGTGTACACGAGGTGACGGACCGCCGGCGTGTTCAAGGTGTGAAAATAGCCCTGGGAGTCGCTGACTTTTTTTTTCTTTCTTCGGGTATTTCAGGAATATACGTACAACGTAGATTTCGTAGTATACGACAATTAAAGGATTAATTATACATTTACGGATGTCGATGTAATTTTTGGATTAAAAAAATTTAGTATATTTTAACAATTTTCCCTTGAATAGTAATACACGTAAAGTCCAGATCTTTGTTCAAAATTACACTGCACTACGTAAAAACGAAAGCTGTTCTCACATAGCTTCCGCAAAGTGTACCCACTCGACTCGATTAGCGATAAAACTGGAAAATGTTCTTTTCTCGCGGTATCGTATTACGCTCTTTAAAAGTAAACGAGGAAGTGGCAAGTATTGGAAAAATTTTAAATACCATATTTTTTTACACGTGTACACTCTAAGGGATCTATTTCCGGATACAGTGTAAAAAGACTGAAATTTTATCGACAGTCATTCGAGATTTATTAAATGACTCGAGATTTCTGATGGTTTTAAATACTTTGTCAAAACGACTCCGAAATCATTATCGAATACTTATTCCGAGTTCCCGAGCCCGCGAATTCATCATAAACTCTCGTCAATTTTTCACTCCACCAAATTTATTACCCCAAGAGAGTGTCTTTTTTTTTTTTTCCTCAAAAATTCCTTAGGTACGCATTTGTCATTTTTCGTTTCCGCGGACGCCGCGATGTCGAAAAAATGTGTCTAGATACACCCCGAACGTCTCCGATATAAAAAATGACCTTGGACGCGTACTCCGTGAAATACACCGCGTCGCGCAAAAGCGACAGCCTACGTATTATAGAATAAGTCTCGTTGGCAACGAATACGCGGCCTTGACACCGTGACGGAGTATCGCTTACGGAAATTAATCACTCCGGCTCGCACAAGTTGACAAGCACCCCCTCGCTCGAAAAAAATAAAAATTCCAAAACATTCACATCCACTTCCTTGTTTACGCGTTTTAATAACACATAAAGACACTTGTACTGACAGTTCGGAAGATTTCATCGGCGCTTTTAATCACACGGAAGAATTTACAGTCCAGCCCTCGAAGGACGGACAAACAAGAGCGGATGCAAGGGGCAGGACGGCTGTGCAAACACGCAAAATTCGCGTGTACGCCAAAAGGACGGGCGCGAAACTTATAAACAGCACGAGAGCGCGCGTTGAAAAGGATGATGGAGCCCCCCCACCCACCTGCAGGGCGTGCACTCTTGGAAGGTTTTTAGTAATAACCAGTCTGCATAGATCATGACGCGAATTTAATTAAACGCCTCGGGTGGTATTCATTTGCGCGGCTGGCTAGTACTGCCGCGCCGAGTAATTTATGTGGGCAAGCTTTCTCTTGCCACGGAACGAGAGACTCTTTATTCTGGTCTGGTTACGAAATTTCGTAAGGACTGCCCGTGGACGTAGGCAGCTGCTTTTTCGGGGACGGGAAGCAGAAGAAGGGCTTGAAGGGCTGATTGTTATCGATGGGATGGGGGTGTGCAAGGGCGGCGCTCGAGACGCGTATAAATCTCGAGGGCTTTTGTTTCGCGACTCTTGGCGCGCAACCTTCTTCCATTGGCGCCCGTTCAAATCCTTTTTTTTTTTTGTTCGCGACTCTGCCCCGGCATGTGCCGAAAGTTGGTAATTCTTCTTACCTCGTTCGATCAGCTGGGTGGTTTTTAATTTCCCTTTTACACGAGTTGACTTTGAGTTTGAAAGGTAGTTTCGCAAGTGTTGGAGACAAAAGGGTGTTTCGGGGTGATTTGCCTCGTACAATAGAATTGAGAAAAAACAATGGTTCTCTCCATCTAGTGGTTTATTGATGCGTATATAAATATATGCGCTGTTATGAGATACTTCAAGCTAGTACTTTTTTGAATTCTCGCAAAAGAAATATCATACGTGTGGTATGCGGAGAATTTCATTTTTGTCGGTGAATCCGAATAGTCAACCACATTGTACTAAAAAAGTTTCTTGCAAACAATTTTTACTGTAAAAAGTTCAATGTAACAAGGCTTTCCGTTTTTGTTATGTCCACAAAAGAACATTCAAACCACTGCAAATTGTAGTTTTCGCGGTGTACATCAAAGAAGTCGTCCGAACAATTACAACAATTTTTTCCCGACCAAAGTCTTGAATGTTTAACCTTTGAAAGAAAAAAAAAAAAAAAAAGAAACTAAAAAAAAAAAAAAAAAAAAACTCAGAGTGCACTAAAGAAGGTTACTGTCGCTTGCCTCTCTGACACAATGAGAGCACATAAAAATCAGCAAAGAGCACCAGTGATATACAGTAGCAAGAAAGCACTGCATCCACCGCAAAGTAAAAAAGCAACAACAAAAAAATACTCGAGGAAGAAAAATTCCGCGAGCGGGAACAGTTCCAGAGCTCAAGATTTTCGCCCGACATCAGAGTTTATCGTTGAAAAAAAAAAAAAAAAAAAAAAAGTACACACGTAAGCCCGAGGCCCTGGAGTAATTTGCCATGATGGAAAACCATCACGAGGAAAAATATCAAGCTAGCGAGTCGCAGGAGCAGAGTAGCGACACTCGAAGTAGAAACGAGCGTCATTAGTCGGACGCTGCTTTTGAGGGAAAGCTTAAACTTGGCTGCTACTACACCTCCCAAGCTCCTCCTCTCTCTCTCTCTCTCTCTCTCTGCCGGCGCTGCGTTGAGTAGTTGAGTTGGTTGGTTGCTTGCCTTTGCCGAGTTGGACTTGCCACTGTCGCTTTGCGTCCGGGATGCTTCTTTATACATGCATACGTATACCGTACACATAGACGCCACGCCGCTCGGGGAATAGGTGAGCGTCGGCGCTCCGTTAACTTGGAATAACGAGCGGATCTCTTTGCTCGTTCTGTGACTCGAGTGCGACGAAATTTCATAAGCGAAACTTGCCCGCCCACCTGGGTGCTGGATTTTTAATTATACCGAAGATCTTCTTTTTAATTACTTTTAACAAGTGCTGTATTTCAACTTTTTTTTTTTTTTTTTTTTTTTTTTTTTTTTTTTTTTTTTTTTTTTTTT